GAGGTAAATTTAGGCCACCCACCTAGCTCAGCTCATAGTAGTCTCCTTCCCACAATTCTCAGTCAATCCTCCTCAAGCCACTCCCCCACTGAATAAACCTGGGTGAGGCCCTGGGTCGCTCTCTTGGTTCCAGAAAGCCATCTTCATGGCTGGACTTAGAGCCCCTTGACTCCCTGATGACTGAAGATATAATTTAGTGTCTTTATTTTCACCGTGGGTTGCATTGTAAGTGGTAGACTGAAATCAATTTGATGGGATTCCAATAACGTAACTTTGGGATTACAAATATTTGCTTCTTGGACCGAGATGAGGACCTGGAAGTATCTCCAACACAGTTCCACAAAAAAAGAAGAAAATTGCACAAACTCTGTGGGTACCCTGTCTGTGAGTACCCTGAGCAGTGCCCTTGGAAGCTCTCCCACTTGGAATGGTGCAACCTCCAGTGTGTCTCTTCCACAGGACAATGGGGTCACAGTCCTCACTGCTCAGGACAGCCAAGGGTACTGACAGGCAATGCCCACATTGCCCACCAGCACAATGTTTGGCACATGGTAGAGATCCGACATTACAGAAATCTACATCAGCCTCATTCTGAGTCTCTGGATAGTTCCACATCAAAGCAGACGACCTTTTCAGTTTCAACACACACAAACCACACATAGCAGATTGTCAGACTGTCTTTGTTGAGCTCACAAAAGGCTAAGTGTTTTCAATAGCACTGGACCAAGGCAAGTGTGTGTCATTAGGCTGGGGTGAGTTATCCCAGAAGCAGGAATGATAGCAGGGACTTGCAGAGATTCTGTGTTTGTTTTTGTTTTTTGTTTTTTTGTTTTTCCAGAACTAGGGGAGATTCTGTGTTTGGAAAGCATATGTAAGGGCACATCTGTGACAGAAGAAGTTGGCTTCATGGAAGGACAGAGCCCATTGGAGCAGCAGAGGGGATGCAAGGCAACCTAGCAAACCTGGGGAGATTTGGATGAGACAGTCCTGGGGCTCCGTGACCCAAGGCAGCTCATGGAGTTCTCAGTAGGGCACCAGCGACCTCTGCACAGAGAGCTGAAGGGCACTGTTGGGCTGTGCTATGTGTCACAGATGTGTCCTTGTCCTGCCTGAGTTAGGCAGTGGGACCCAAGAGGCTGCTAGAATGGCCTCAAGATGTTTACCGTCTCAGGAAGGAGGCCAATGGGGCCCTAAGAGTGCCGTGAGTGGAACTCTGCAGAGCACTCTGGAGTTCCAGATTAGGGTGCTTAGCCAGGCCCAGGCGGCCACACTGCTGGCTGCTGTGCTTTGAGCTGTGTGGTCTGAGGTAAGTCCTCCCTGTGCTGGGCCTGTGATTACACGGGAACCTCAAGCCCTTGCACTGAGGGTAGTAAGACCGCCACTTCTGAGCCTGCAGAGTCTCCCATGGTGGCTGCAAAGAATGTGCTAGATTACAGCCAACCGAAGGAATCAGACCCTCCCAACTGGTGATGGGAGATGGTGGCCGAAAGGTCTCTGCTGTTTCATCAGGAAGGGAGCAAAAACTTTAATCCTCATACCCTTCAGTGGGTCACCAACACTCTTGCCACCTGTAATGGTTTGTGTCTAGTTGTCCCCCCAAGGCCTCATGCATAGAGTGGACTTCCAGAGTTTGCAATTAACTCCCGATCCAGAGTTGGGATTATGGTTGTGAGTGCTACACTGGCCCTGGGGTGGATAGACTGAATGCAATAGAAGGAAGGGAGAGAGGCCTGCCTGTGCTGCTGCCGCTGCTCCTCCCTTTTTGCTCTTACTGTTTTGTTGTTTTTCTGCCACGAACTGCTGCCCTCTGCTATGTGCCTCTCTGCCTTGACACCAGCTAAGTATGAACTGAAACCTCCCCAGACTGAGCTAAATAAACCTTTCCTTAATTTTGGGCATCAGGTATTTTGTCCCAGCAATGAGAGAAAAGTAACAGAGATGCGGCTTCCTGGCCAAGCACTATGGCGGAAGGTGTGGCGCCGGGTCCTCAGCTGCGGGTGGTCTGCCCCACCCAGCACTAGAAGACAAGAGGGCTGCCATGGAGTAGGGGGTCTTTGACCATGGCTTCTACTAGTCATGGTCCTATCAGCATTTCATGTACTCCAGCAGCATTTAGCACCTACTGTTTGATCCCTGTAGACTTCTGGTGAACCTGACAGGGTTAACTTTTTTTTGGACCAGGGATCAAACTCAGGACTTTGCATTTGTCAGGCAGGCGCTTGTGCCACTGAGCTATATCCTTGGCCTGGTATTAACTCTTTTTCAGTTGAGGAGCCAGGCTGAGAGAAATTGAGGACCTTGCCTAATGTTGCACTGCTTCTCAGTAACCGAGGTAAAGCTACAACCCTCAGCCTCTTGTAATATAAGTAAAAGCACTTTTTAAGTGGTAACCTGTGTAACTCCTTTGGAGTTTCAGATAGGTCTTACGGGAAGGAGGTAGTCACCAGGCTGCATAGGCCACCAGGAGGGGTAGATGCCCAGGGTGAAGAAGTCATTCTGGGTTAGGAAGAACCACTGCAGAAAAGACATGACATCCACAAAGCTTTGACCACTGTGAGGGGAGGCCATCAGGGTAGCGAAGCCTTCTTTGGTGTAACAGACTCAAAGCCTTGACAGGAAGGGACAAACAGAAGAGCTCCAGAGGAGGAAGCTTGCTGGCACCAAGGGCTCTGGGAAGCACAGGACAAGGAGCAGGCAGACCTCCTGCGGCTTCTGGGGCCTCACAGCTGCAAGACTTCTTTTCTCTTTTTTCTTTTTTTTGTGGAACCGGGAATTGAACCAGGCCTTTGCACTTGCCAGGGAAACACTTATTCCACTGAACCATCTCCCTGGCCCCGGCTGCAAGACTTTGACCCTGTGCGATGATTTCTTCTGCTCTGGCTCTCAGCTCTGACTGATCAATAGAGGGGCTGCAGGTGGTCTCCAAGGTTTTGGGTAGCTCCGACATTCCATTTCTGTGTGACCTTGGGGCTCCAGGGATCAGATGCCTGACTTATGCCTCCTGAGACTGGACTGAGTCCTGTACCTTCTTTAAAGAGAAGCACTTAAAAAAGGCAGGAGTAGGGACCAAGGTCCAGCTTAGGGAGAGACAGGGTTTGCCTGTAGGAAGAGCATACTCCAGGCGGTTGTCAAGTGCAGCCCCTACCTTCCCCAGATATCACGTACCTTGTTCAACCATCACAGGTCTATGAGATAGATGTGTTTAGAAGTAGGGACATGGTGGCTCCATGGTCAGCTCAAGTCATCTATAAGGAGCATCTTGTCTGCTGACCCTCCCAATCTGGAATGATCTCAAGTCCTCTCCCTCTCCCTCTCCCTCTCCCTCTCCCTCTCTGCAAGGAGCATCTTGTCTGCTGGTACCTCCCTCAGGAAGGCAAGGGAGTGGGGAGAGACCAGGAGCTGGCACCATACACCCCCAGAGAAGCCCTTCCTGCTGCTCCCCCGCAGGTCAGTACCCCACCTCAGCGCAGGAGAGTTGTGCCTACCTGGGAGGCTGCCTGGAGCATCAGAGGAATTAGCACATGGTCTCCAGGAATCTTAGGTTTTGTCCCTTTCCCCTCTCTGGACCTTGGCAACAGCCTGCGTTCCCCTTGCTCCTACTGTCACATCATTATCTGTGGCAATTTAGGTTCACTTCTCTGTCACCATGCTAGACCCTGCTGGCATTTTGGGACCCATAGGCCACATCAGGAGGCAGGGCTATGCAGACAGAGACCCACGTGGCTCTGACCTTCCTAACACAATCAGAGGGACCTGGTGTGCATCCCAAATGTCAGACAACACCCACCCTTGGCCCCTCAGAGGGCAGACCACTACCCCTACTGGGGGGGGGAGCTGCAGGCCATACCAGGGGCCCACGCCCTGGGTGGGCACACAGGACAACTATTGTCTGTGCAGTGCCTGGCACCCTCTTGTTTGCATAGCCATGTGAAGAATGCAAGGAAGCAGGCTAGGGACTGTCCCTTTGAGGGGGTTGGGGTGGTGGGAGAAGATGTTTGCTGGGGTCATAGCAGGACCCTGCAGTCCCCCAGTGTAGGCCAGGAAAGGTGGGTGGGCTGCTGGGGATGCAGGGGGTGGCCAGGGTCTTGTGGGAGTGGGGTCAGGCGTGTAACATTCCTCCTGCACCCACACAGCCATGGGGCTGAAGGGGACGTGAGGGGACTGCTAATGAGGTGGAGGAGAGTTAAACATTCCCCTGCTCCTGAGGGCTGAGCCCCGTGGGAGAGAGAAGGGGAGGTGGGGTCCTGGAGGGGGCAGCCTGAACCCTAGGAATGTGCAAAGGCCACTGTTCCCCCAAAGCTATTTTGGAACTGGGGGTCGGCCCACTGTCCTAGGTCCCAGCAGGAGCTGCTGAACCAGCCAGCAAGGGGATTAATGAGCTGAGCAATCCGCCTTCTCTTAGGCCAATGCCAGAAGCCTGGTGCTGTCTCCCCAGCTCCCTGCCAGGCCCCCTTCTGGTCTGCAGCCAGCTCTGGCCCAGCCTTGGTAGGGCCCCTCTTCTGACCCCTCCGATCTCAGACACACCCCATAAGCATATTTTCTGCTCTGGCTTTCTGGCCTCCTTATTTCTGGTGCACATGGATCCCAGCTCCCCAGAACCCTTCTCCCCAGCACTCAGTTCCTAGCCTAGTCTCCCCACATCTAACCTCAGAGGTTTTCCCTGATGTCTAGCTCTAGGTTTCCCTGATGCAAGCTGGAATTTCCTTTCTGTCCCCAAGTCAGAAAGCAGGAAACCTCAAAGGCCAGATCGGCCTTGTAAGAGCAAAGTCCATCATCTCAGGCCTGGTTCTCAGGGTAGAATTTAGGGGACTTGAATCAAGTTCCAAAGGATGGGAAGACCTGGAGTAGGCAGGATCACTCTTCCCAGCCCCTCCCTTCTCTCCCCTGGGACCCACCTGGTCCCTAAGTCCTGCCCCTGTCTCCAGGGGGCTGGGCATGAGCTTTGCTGGGTACCCTGGTCTGGCTCAGGCGACTGCTGTGGGCGGGCCTTTGGCCTCTCCTCCTGCATTCTGTAGCTCAGAGCCACTGCCTTTGCTGCTGCAGCTGCTGCTGTCCCCTCTCCTCCTCTGCTTCTGACCACTCAGTGCCCCGGCTGTTCTCTGTCCTGGTCATGACCACAGCGACCCCCAGGACCCTGGCCTAGCTCTGAGCCTTGGGGCCCTTGGTCCCCCCTCTTGGGCCATGGCCAACTCAGGTCTCCAGCTGTTGGGCTACTTCCTGGCCCTGGGTGGCTGGGTGGGTATCATTGCCAGCACAGCCCTGCCACAGTGGAAGCAGTCCTCCTATGCAGGCGACGCCATCATCACTGCTGTGGGTCTCTACGAAGGACTCTGGATGTCCTGCGCCTCTCAGAGCACTGGGCAGGTGCAGTGCAAGCTCTATGACTCTCTGCTTGCCCTGGACGGTAGGCCTCGGGCTGGCAGGCTGGGAGGTGGGAATGGGGTGGGCTGGGGGGTCTACAGCAAGCTTTCCTATAGTCTGCTGTCAGTACTGGGCCCCACACTCCAATTCCCTGCATGATCCCCACTACTGATCTCACATGCCTGGGTACTTTGGGAACCTGGGGCCTCCGGGTAGGGTCTGGCAGCTTTGGGTCCACTGAAATCTTGTGAGATAGCAGCCCTTTCGTGTTCTGAGGTTCTCCTCTGTAATGTGGATTACTAACACCTTATTCCAAAGAGAAGAGCACACCAAAGACTGAAACCCTCCCAGCCACTTCTCCCCACTTTCTGTATGCAGACATGCTGTGTACACACAACTACTGCCCAATCTCCACCCAGGCAAGTGTGCTCATGCACACACAGAAGCACTGAACACGCACACAACCACACACCCATGCACACACAAATGCACACGAGTTTTGGCCCATGCCCCATTCCTCCTGGGGTGTGGAATTGAGACTCAGACTGACCCATAAACAGGCACCTGCGCTCTGACCTTTAGCAGGGCTGCACGGCCACACTGTGCCAGGGTCCCACAGGAAACTGGGCAGGGCTGCCCTCAACCAGCCCGCCACATGGTCCATCCCAGTCACAGGCTTCTCCAGGGGCCACAATCTCCTGAGCTGGCTTGGGGCCCGGGACTGACCTACACACCCTTGCCAGGAGCTGGGCAGCTTCTGGCACTATGGTGATTAACAGGGCAGAAAGAAGGGAGCGGAGCAGAGGGGCTGATGCAGGGTGGGGGGTGCTACCTGGGGCTGGGCTGGGCTGAAGTGGGCCTCAGACACTCTCAGCTTTTCCTTCTGTTGAACCTGATCAGTCCAGTTAGAGCTGCTTGAGAGTACCCAGGCCCAAGAAAAAGCAGCAAAAAAGCCAATTCAAATTATCCCATCACCAAAGTACCATTGGACCCTGCCAGAGGGAGTGAAAATGAGGGCCAGTGGTGAAGGGGACCCAGCCCCACAGCCTGCCTTACACCCCACAGTCTCCTTTCACAGGCAGGTGGTTCAGCCTCAACCAACTCCTGCGCAGGCCCCTCCAACAAGGCTCCTCCCAACACAGGTGGGACCCACACAGCCTAACCCTGATGTCCCCTCCCCTCCCCAGCCCTGCTCAGTGCAGCCCTGGCCCTGCCCTAGGTCACATCCAGTCGGCACGAGCCCTGATGGTGGTGGCCGTGCTCCTGGGCTTCGTGGGCATGGTCCTCAGTGTCGTGGGCATGAAGTGCACACGGGTTGGAGACAGCAACCCTATCGCCAAGGGCCGTGTGGCCATCTCCGGGGGTGCCCTCTTCCTCCTGGCAGGTGAGTGGCCCTTCTACCCACTTGGCTCATGACAGGGTGGCTGCTCGGGGGGGCCTGGGAGCCCCCGAGCATTGCTCTGCTTTGTTCTCAGGCCTCTGCACTTTGACTGCTGTCTCATGGTACGCCACCCTGGTGACCCAGGAGTTCTTCAACCCAAGCACACCTGTCAATGCCAGGTGAGTGCCAGGGTTGGCTCCTGCTCCACCTATTCTGGGGCCACTTCACTGTGTCCAGCAGTCACTTGGAAGAGAAAATGGGGAATGGAACGCAGCTGCTATCTGAGAAACTCTGGAGCAGGGAGCCCGGGTAGGTGTAGCTGGGCCCCCAAGGGGGGCCAGAAGCCAGGGTGGTGTGGGGGTGATGGGGGACAGCAGGGACCTCCTAGGAGCCAAGACCCTGGCTCTGAGCTCTTTCTAATCCCAGCACTGCCGATCCTAGTAAAATATTGAAAAAGTTACTTAATCTTTTCATGCCTGGCTTCTTCCTCCATAAGATGGAGCCAGAGCCTGATCCCCAGCTCTCACTGGTTGTGAGAGTCCACCAGACAATGCAGGTAGGGGTTAGCACAGTGCCTGGGCATGGGGGATTGCTCAGGACACCTGAGCTGATCTTATTTCTCCTGAAGGCAGCAGGTGAGGTGGCTTCTTACGGAGGAAGCAATTTTATGGGGCCAGAGAGATGAGACTGGAGAAAAAGCGGCAGATGGAGCCAGGCTGGTGGCCTTCCAGGGGCTGCTCTTCATCCTGGGGTGGAAGAAGGGCTATCCTTCTTCCGTGGTGTGCGGAATAGGGGAAGGAGGCAGAACCCATAGGGTGGCAATGGCAAAGGCTCAAGGCCAGGAAGGTAGCCCTGGAAAGCAGATTTGCAGACATCTGGGCACTAGAATGGTCAGCATTTACAGGATAAGGGGCATCAGGGCTGAGCCAGGGGCTCTCAGAAAATCTGGGCCACCCTGATTCATCCAAGTTGAACCAGGAGTGAAAAAGGAACATCTGAGATATTCTAACAGACCCAGGGTGGAGGGCAGGGAAGAAAAGAAGCCCAGTTTGTGAACAAGTGTCCCTGCAGTTGGTGGAAGGGGGAGGAAAAGCAGGAGGCTTCAGGAGGGCGTCTGTTCTCTGGCAGGCAGCTACAGCAACACAGACCTGCCAAACAAGGTTGAGCTCAAGGGGCCAAGGAGAGATTCGGCCCTTTGTCCTTTTCACTGCCCCAAGGCTGCCTGGATCGGGGGGATCCCAGCCCCTGTCTGCGTTCCAGAAGGGGCACCCTGTGCTTAGGCACAGAGGCTGGAGACAGCCCAGGCAAGCCAGCAGCCTGCACAGAGAGCCCAGGACACGGAGGGGAGCAGCCAGGCCTTTCCTGAGGACAGCGGAAAGCAACCTGACTGCCTGGTCAGACCTTGGTGGCCTCTCAAGCCCCCTCCACTGGCCAAAAGTGGAAATGAGAGCAGGGGCTGGAGAGTAGCCCTCCAGCCTGTAGGCCACCCTGGGCCTAGGAGGAAGAATGAACATCCCCCAGTTTATCTGGGGAGGTGGGGGCCTTGAGCACCATGCTCTGCAGCCCCTGCAGCCCGCATTCCCTCTGGCAGGCCCCTGAGAGGAACTATGAGGCGGGCTGGGTTTGCAGCCACACTTGAAGCTGCCCGTCCTCTACTCTGCAGGTTTGAATTTGGCCCAGCTCTGTTTGTGGGCTGGGCCTCAGCTGGCCTGGCCATGCTGGGGGGCTCCTTCCTCTGCTGCACGTGCCCGGAGCCCGAGAGAACCAACAGCAGCCCGCAGCCCTACCGCCCAGGACCCTCCACTGCTGCCCGAGAGTACGTCTGAGCCCTACCAGCCCCAAATGGCCCTCTTGCCCAGCAGCCCCTCACCCAGCACTCCGGCCAGTCCGACAGCATTCTGAGCAGGGCACAGGATGTCCCCAAGTCCCAGTGGGGACTCTGAGAACTTGGTCCTCAACACAGATACTCACTCTGCCACCGGAGACCCAGAGACTCGGACATCCGAGGCAGGGCCCTTTTCCCTCTGGTACACAGCACAGGCGCTGCTGCACTGCCACAGCCTCGGGCAGGCCCTCAGGCGCCAGCCTAGGGGGTGGCCCTTTCCCCCACCTGCTTATTTTCCATGTTTACCATGTGCTGGGCCCTCAGGATCCTCCTGTGACCAAGATGGATGTTAGCAGCCAATACCTGGGGTGGGTGGTACCTTTCACCCACTTGCACTCCTCTGCAGTACCCAGATAAGTGACATCCCGTGTTACATGCTGGCACCCTGGGGTTCCGAGAAGCCAGAAGGCTCAGCCCCACTTTCTTCTGAGTGCTGATCTTGGGCTCATCGAGTTCCTGACACTGCTTGGAAACCCACACACATAGCTAGACCAAATGGTGCCCCCCTCACCCCTGGTACTAGGCTCCACATGGGGCTGCTGTGAGGCCCAGGGCCCCGTGGTATAGGCCAGGCCCTGCGTCTGGGCCTGAACCACACAGCCCCTGCCTTCTCTGCTACAGCTCACCCCACTAACCAGCTCTCTCTCTTTTGACTTTCAGACCTGTTGTTAAATTGCCTGTCTCCACCAAGGGCCCCCTGGGTGTGTAATGTCCAAATTCCCAGCCAGGTTCTGTCCCCCTGCCACACCTACTCTGTGTGCTTAGTAAGTTTTGGAAAGAGAACTGAACGCTCAGCCCAAGTGTGGTGTCATTTGCTTCGCTCCTGCCATGGCTAGTTGGGGACCTGGTATGAGAGGTTAGAGCTGACCTCTGGGGGCTCTGGTAATGGGTTTCACAGCACAAACAGGAAAGAACTCAGGGTCTTAGCCTTTGGCTCAGCACCAGGGAGATCCCACCCTGCACTCTCCTGGCCCAACACTGGAAGCAAATCCCTGGGGTCAGAGAGCCCCTGGTGTGGAGAAAAGCTCACAGGTGAGAAGCCCTACCTCTGGGAGCACACCTAAGGGAAGTGACAGTCCCTGTGAGGCTCTCTGGCTGGGGCTGGGTCAGAGCCGAGTGGGGGGACTTTGGTTTTTTTTTATTTTTTAACTCGGGCCCTTGTACTTGCCAGGGAAGTGCTTATTCTACTGGACCATCTCCCTGGTCCCCCAGCGGGGGGACTTTGTGTAAGAGCTCCCTCCTTCGGAAGGCCACTGGGACTGTCCTGGTGAGGGATGAAGCCCCCTGCTTGGCTCCACCCCAGTGTTGCCGTGGAGACTGTGGTTGGCGCTCCATTTGCAGCCAGGGAACCACCAGTGTCTTGAAGCCCAGACTGGCCCCTGGTGGTGTTCTCCAGAATGAGTAGCCCCCGCCCCCATGCTCAGCCTCTGCCATGCAGACACCAGCCCTGGTCTCCAGGTCTCTCCCTGCCCTGCCCCTTCCTTCCTCATTCACACAACACCCTCGTGGAAAGAGGCATCTGTTACTGTCCCTCTTCCTCTGCCTCCCAAGTGCCTTATCTGGCTTTCTCCAGCTCCAGTACACAGTCAGATCTCAAGCCAGTTCACCAAATACACAGACACAGTCCAGCTCTTCCTTCAAGCTTGAGTCTTCCAGGTGAAATGACCAAAACCAAGTCAGAGATGACTGTCACACACTGCAGCTGAAGTCAGGGTGGAAGAAGGGAAGCAAGTGATGGGGCTGGCATGTGATTGCCCCAAGAATGGGGGGGGGGTGTGCCAGAGGGGAGGCACCTGGGCCTAAGTAGGCTGACTCTAGTCCTACAGTCCCGCTGCTCAAGTTATGAGAAATAGCAAAGCATCTCTGGGTGCCCCTACCCTCGGCATCCTAACATAATGGGTCTGGGCATCAGGGAGCTTCACATGGACACTCTGAGGGGTCCACGGAGTGGGAGCAAAGATCCTCCAGGAGGGGGAGGAAAGGCGAGGCTGGAGGGGAAGCACCATCTCCCTCCTGCTTTTCCGGAGATCAGGCCATTGGAGGAGCCGCCCACATCCTTCCGATCAGTGTGCCTTTGTGCTGACACGATTTTGAGTCTGGATCCTGTCACACAGCCACTAGGGCCTAACACAGAATGTGGAACCTGGAAACTCAGCTCCTGCTATACGGTACCAGCTGAGCGGGACTAGAATTGTCCCCACAAATAGCCAGCTGTTTAGCAGTCTTCACTGTTTGTGTCATCTCTGGAGGTTCAGGGGCTCCAGAGCCATGGGACTGGGCAAGTGGACGTCAAGAGGGAGTCTACTGTGGCCATGCCACCCTGTACATGCCCCATCTTGGTTTGATTGCAGAAGACAAAGTGCTGGCTACTTCTGCTGAGTTTCAGAGACAGGCTGTGAAAAAGACAAGCCCCATGGCAGCAGGGGACCTGACAGCAGAGAGAGAGCAGGCCTCGGTCTATTCCTTCATTAAAGGAAGCTTGTTTACACCTGAGGTCAGGAATGGGTGAATGAGGATGGGGTGGGGGTGGGGTGGGAGAGAGAGATAGACAGACAGACAGACAGCCAGAGCCAGAACCACAGTGGCTGTTGCATTACACAACCCAATAATCCTCTGGTCAGAAATGCTGAGAGAGAGAGAGAGAGAGAGAGAGAGAGAGAGAGAGAGAGAGAGAGAGACTGGGCATGGTGGCACATGCCTATAATCCCAGCGCTTGGGAGGCTGAAAACAGAAGGATCACTATGAGTCTGAACTGTGTAGTGATACCCTGTAGACCCTGCGTTAAATACATAAAAAAGAAAAAAAAAAAATGCCTGACATCCTTTCAGTGGGAAGGAAATGTCTGGGAGAAACTAGAGGAGTCTGAAGCTAAAAGAGTTTGGGGATCCTGAAGCCACAGGCCTCCCTGGAGTAACCCCATTCAAATGTTTATGTCATGGTCACCTGGACTGCCAGAGCCAGGGCCCATTCTCCAGGCTCAGGCCAGCCTGTTGTTTACTGTCCCAGCCCCAAGGCTAAGAGACTGGGCAGAGCCCCACTGAGGTGATTCTAAAGAACATGATTCTAAAGTTTTTGCCATTCTTTATTAATAAACAATCCCTCAAAATAAAATTGTTATGGGATAAAATACAATTTAGGCTAGGCATGGTGGCGCACATCTGGAATCCCAACACTCAGGAGGCAGAGGCAGGAGGATCTCCCTGAGCTTGAGGCCAGCCTGGACTACAAAGGCTAGCCTGAGTGGCATAGCTAGACCCTATCTCAAAAATGCCAAAACCAAACAATTTTAGGAGGAATATATCTGTGTACTCAACCGCTAATGAAAGCCTCAAACCCTAGGGGAACTGACCAGGAGTCTCATATATTGCCTAGAGAGAGGCTTGAAAATGTGTACCTGAGAATACGGTGTATGACAGAGTAGATGTTTTCTTTTTTTTTTTTTTAATTTTTTAAAAAAAAATTTATTTGTGTGTGTGTGTGTGTGTGTGTGTGTGTGTGTGTGTGTGTGGCCAGCTCAACCTATCAGGGGGCAGGGCTGGCTGGCATGTGGTGCTGGGGGATTGAACTGCGGTCCCTGTGCTTTGCTAAGCTTGTTCTAAGTAGGTGCTTTAGACCACTGAGCCATCTCACCAGCCCAGATGATTTCTATGATGTTAATTGTGTGTCATATATTGTTAATATTGTGGGACTGTGGTTCTCAATTTTTGACCTTTGCCTGGTAAAAGTATACACTGACATGAGGCTGAATTTCCTTTCAAATACTCTAGGAACCAGGAGTTCATGGGCAGAGAAAGCTATAAAGTAAGAATGGTAAATGCTACTGCTAACGGGGGTCCACTCTACCCTTCTGGTTGTATGTTTGATAATGAAAGAAAAAATCTTAAAATAATTTTAAAAATACCTCCAAGGTTTTTCTGTTGTATGATTGAATACACGCCCAACCAGGAGAATAAGGACAAAGGCTAGAAACACTCGCTCTGCAGAGCCCAGTTCTCAGCTCTCAGCCCTCCGTCCAGACCTAGTGACTCCGGCAAGACCACCAGCTCATTCAGGCGTCCCTTGCCATTTGCAAAGCACTGGGGTAGGCTGGTGAGCACTCCGAGATGCTTCTTTTTAGCATGAGAGTTGCCATTGAGCTTATCAATTGTCTGTTAGGTTACTGACTGTGGTGCACTGAGTAATTTTGTTAGAGTTCACAGTTGATGAAATGCTACACTTAAACCTGATCCGGGTGAAAACTGAGGTGAAGTACAACACTCATATCCTATTTGGTTCCACTTATGAGAACATGCAAAGCAATTTCATTCTGGTTTCATCCTTCCTCGTGAAAACAGCTGAAAATTATGGGGTACAGCATCAAAAAGCCACCGTGGTACTATGAAAGTCCCAAGTCAAAGCCAAAGAAACCCTGGGTCGCATGCTCCTCCATCAGCCACTCAGTGCCCTGAGGACCCCACAACATCAAGGGGCCACTGACTGGCATGGCTGGAGACAGGGCACCTACAAGGGGACTGAACCAGCTGTTCACTGACAGAAGTAGGTTTCAAAAGTGACAAGAGGGAAAGCTAGAATAAATAAATCCAGGAGGGTGGGATTAGAACCGTGAGGTGAACTTGTTGTTTTTTAAAATATGGGAGGACATACCAAAATAGACACTGATATATGTGCTCATGTACGTGCTCACCTGAGACACACACACCCATGAGCTCTACTGCTAGGGAGTCTTAGTGACAAGGATGCCCCAGTACCAGTGGGCATGGCGAAGGTCCAGATTTTTTTTTTTTTTTTTTTTTTTTTGAGACAAGTTCTTGCTATGTAGTCCAGGCTGACCTCAAATTTTCAGTGATCCTCCTGTCTCAGCTTCCCAAATGCTGGGATTGCAGACATGTACCACCACACCCACCCATGTCTTGATTTCCGAGTATCATTCTCTAAGAAAAGGTACCAAGGCTCTACGGAGAAATGGCAGATTCTAAGGTGCTATGGTTTGGACTGAAATCCCGCAAAGACGCATGTGCTCCAGTGAGGCCTTTGTAAGTCAGCCAGATCCCGTGGCGCTAACCTCCTCAATGGACAGAGCCGCTGGTATGTCTAGAGCTGGGGAGTGGAGTGGTCAGGTGGTAGGAACTGGATGGGATGGAGAAGGCGGGTCCCTGGGAGCCTTGGAGAGCACGTCTTTCCTCGGCCTCTCCCTTGTTTCCTGCGCTTTCAGCCACTGAGGTGAGCAGCTCCTTGGCTGTACCCTCCACAAGAGATGCTTCTGCCTTCAAGCCAGCTGACCTTGGACCAAACCTCTAAAGTTACAAGCCAAAACAAGACCTCCGTTTTTTAAATTGTATATGGCAGGTATTTTGTTCCAACAAGAGAAAGCTAATACGGCCCTCAGACGTAAGGCTCAGGCTGGGAAAGCTCAAAACTTTCAGTATCTTGGTGCTCCAGAAAGTAAGAAATGGCTCAAGGATTAAAGGAGACATGCACAAAGGATACAAAGGCCAGATTAAATGTGTTCCCACTGGCTTTATCGGTGACCAATTGAGCATTAAAATAAACAGTGAAACCAGAGGAGGTGGCTCATGCCTGTAATCCTAGCACTCAGGAGGCTGAGGCAGGAGGACTGCTACAAATTCAAGGCCAGCCTCCGTTATGTGATGAATTGGAGGCCAGCTTGGAATACATGGCAAGACCCTGTCTTAAAAAGATCCCAACAAATAAATAAACAACAACAACAACAAAATGATATTTCAGGTGAGTAATGTTGGCAAGATAGTCAAAGGAATTGCCTGTTGCTTGCCTCCAAC